TTTTCAGACCGATGAGTTTTGTAAAAATCGACGCGTTTCAGAAAGGCGGGGCATAGAGGAGAAACAATAATGTACAGTATATGGAAAATAATGTGTTTTTTGAACCTAAACTGCATAAACACATTTCATTACACCAAATACACAAAATAATGTTCTTTTTAGCAACATCATATGACCCCTTTAAAAAAAGACTGTCAAGCCAATATGCAAAGTATATCTTAATTTTGTCTTGATACTTGGCTTTCCTTTTTTTCAAAATCATAATCGTAAAGACTGTTGTTCTTAAAACTCCAAACAACTGGGCTGTTAAGGTTACACACTCCTGCTAAACTGCAAGATTTGTCCTTTTGGAAAGTCTGACAAGTCACCCATTTCACCCACGACTTGTACTAAACACTACTGAACACATACTACACTAAAATACAACCTAGAGAACAGTTAAAAGATAAATAAAATATAATTGCGACATTCATTCAGTCAGTCTGTAAAGTTCTGTATTAGGCCTATGTATCTTTCAAAAATATAAACTTTGTGAATTGTTGACTTACATTCAAAGTCTTGCTATAAAACAGTTATGGATAGCCTTTAGAGAAAGAGTGAGATATTAGATCTCAATGTAAATGTAAAATTGTCTATTTGTTTTGAACTAAAGGTCCTTTTTGTAGCCAGAGTACAAAGGTTCACACTGCTGTCGGTTATGTCTTATTTCCCATCCCTCCTTTTAATGAATGCCTTGGATACATGTAAGTAGCCATTTTAGCAGACATCTGTTTATCCGAAATGACTTACCGTACACTTATTACAGGGACAATCCTTCTGGAACAACCTGGGGTTACACAGCAGTGATGGTTCATTGAGTTTACGGGTCTCTAACCTGCAAACTTTTGGTAAGCAGCCCAGCCCCCCTTTACCCATCACAACACCACATACATTAGATACTATAACTATAGTCTGCCGGTTTATTGCCAACACAAAGGTTAAATGATACGCTTCACATAGCATAAGGTGTCATAGAGTCAGAAATTAATTCATGAATATGTGTTAAGCATCTCCTTTCAAAACAAACTGTATCTTATTGACAGGCAGCTATAAATTCCCATGAATCTGGTTGATCTTTTTGAGAAACCTTATCAGCATGAGGTAAAACAAACTAGCCCCCCCCCCTCGTCAACCTTTACCACCTCCGCCACTTACTCTTTGATTATTCCCTCCTTTCATCAAAATCTGTGTTGAGTGAGTTGGAGAGAATAGGAGGGGCTCTTCATTTGAAAAACAAAAAAACAAATTGTCCCGCCTAATCAAAGTATGCAGCTGAAGGACAAAGCAAACTTGCATTTTATCACCAAATATCTCTAAAGAAGAAACTTTCCTGGCCAAAACAGAAAGAGAACACAAAACAGTTCAAAACAGGAGCCAGAACCAGGCAGTACATGCGCGAGGACAAAAGGACAGTTGTCCCCTGTCCACAAAACACATGTGAGTTGGCTGTCAGGGGAATATTTGGCTCAGCTCAGCTATTGGAAAGGGCTGATAGAGTGAACTGAACGATATATAATTCTGCTCCTGACGCAAAGACCGCCTGAGCGCAGGGATGTGAGCGTTGTCTTTCAGTCAAACTGGCAGCTCAGAGCGTGTTTGTATTTTTTTGCCAGCCATATATTTACGTGTAGAGGCTTTTACATTGGTTTCAAAATACCTCTTTTAATAGATTTTCATTAATCTGTAAATTAAAGGTCGTGTCAGTCATAATTACTACTTCATTTGTTTGCTGTTTTGCTGTCTGTAGCAACTAGGCCTGCGGTTAGCTGAGCAGATGAGCTTTGGACCTCCAGAATCAAGATCGCCGACCTCAAGCAGCGGCTGCTCTAATTACGTTTACAAAACCACACGGGTGGATTAGATTATAGTGCATCTTCCACATGCCCACAGAAAGCTTTAAAAAGCTAATAGAGAATTTCCTTGCCCACGTTGTGCAGCTGTGATTTTAGTCAAACTAAGAGATGTCCTTCCACTATCAACCACATCTGAAGCTCTGATATGGCACCACAGAGGTTCATTACACATGAACTTGAGAGCGTCCAAGGAACTGAATGAACCAATTGCCAATTGATTTTGGGAATGAAAAATTAATCTGGAAATGAGTGCGATGGACTTCCTTTTCAAAATGATCTAATATTGTTGTGCAATGTATTGCACAATTATACATACCCTGTTGAATATATGCAAGAAAGACATCAATTTTGAAGAAATACTGACTAAATGGGAACACAAGCTGTCAGATACATCTGTGACAGATTGTGGAAACTTAGAAAATGTCTTTTAACGGAACAGATCAAATTCCCAACATTGCAGAGAGTATCAGCGCATGAGGAAACAGCCCCTGTTATTCGTTTTCACTCGAGAACATCCCAGAACATTCTCAAAGTAGAGCCATTTCATCTGGTTCACCATAATGCAAGGGCATCTGGACACAATTTGAACATGACAATTTTCTGGTCAACTACTTAGTAATCATGCAGTGAGTTCAGTGTCCTTGTATGGCCACTGACAACGAATGATCTTTAAAGATGCATGTGTGTTCTCACTCTAAATTTAGTGGATTCTCAGAAGTTTGAGAGTAGTAGAATAGAATAGAATAGTCCATCTATTTATCTATCTATATGTCTATCTGTCTCTATTTGGATATTTGTGCATGGAAACAGCAACCCTTTTGTTTTCCTCACTATCTTGATGGGCCTTTATGGTCTGTGAAAGCTGTAGAAGTACTTCCGAGGATGATGCAAGGTATTACAAGTGAATTTTTTTTCTCAGCTGTGTTCATTTATGATCCATAATTTCTCTGGCACTGTAAAGAAGAATGGTTTAGTGTCTTGCATTCAACTCAGTCCTGCAGCATTTCTTTAATACTATGAAATGAAATGAATGCAAGCAATGAGAATGAAACACTGGATCAACCTCATTGAGCAGCCAATCAACTGCCTAGCAGGCATCACTTTAAATCTCTCATCATACTGTCCAATACTAACTAAACAAGGCTTATAACCTTCAATCTTCAAAGCTGCTGAAGTTCCATACTGCTGTAATCTTCTAGTCCAGGTTTTGTCCAGCCAAAATGTAAAAAAAAAAACAAAAAAAACTTTATATGTCTTGTACAGTATTTTTTAAGAGTGTCAGTATAAGCAATTACTTTGTTTTTTGAGAGTACAACACATTATCCAGCACTAATGATCTTGTTGAGTTAACAGTTTATGTCTACATACCGTATACAAGAAATGTAGCTAAGGTACATGCATCTAAAAGGTAGATGTCACGGGCAGGGTGTTCCAGAGATCAGGCAGGACGACGAAGAAAAGGATATTTAATGATATGACAACAGGAGATCCAGACAGGGTAGACATCAACACACAGGGTAACAGTCACAATAACCAACAAACTAGAATACCAGAGACAGGAACTAATATAGGGCAGATAACGAGGGGCAGACAGGTGAGCACAATGAGGTGATTAACTAATAATGAGAACAGGAACAACCAACTAAGGACACAGAGGGAGAAATCACAATCGACAGTCCACAGGGGTGTGACAGATCGCCCCCCTCCCGGAAGTCACGTCCTCGCACCGTGGAGACAGAGGGAGGGACGGAGGGGGACTTAGGAGGAGGACAAAGGAGTGGATGTGGGATGGAGACAGGGGAAGGCAAAGGGCTGGCAGGCAGACATGCCAGGTGGAGGCGCCGGCAGAGGACGGATA